TTTTTTTTTTTTTTTTTTTTGTAAAGAGGGAATAATTATGATTTAGGTATTCTTACTACTTTAAATAATTAATTTTTTAATAGTAAAAAAAGTCGATCTCTTTAGTGTGAACTGAATCATTTGAAAGCAACAAGAAATAATTAAATAATTGAGAAGATAACCTAAGCTTGCTTGGCCTTCTTTAATGTAATAATCAATACAAGAATTAATTATTGTTAGTAGAAAAAATTATTTAGAGGAAGAAGTTTATCTCACGAAAAAATTATTTGGTCCTTTCACTTAAATTTATCCAACACTAAAATGATTTTGCAATTTAATACATTTACTTTTCGGCACATCACACGACTAGACGAATAGGACTAGGATTGAGTCTAATGAAAACATTTGACCAAAAAATTAAAACAAAAAATTGAATTTAGAAATTGGGTTGGGCTGGGCTAGCTAGGCATGGACTTGGTTTGGGAATTAGAGCATTAATCACTAAATTAGCTAATTTGTTTTTTAAAAAAATTAAAATAATTTAATATAAAAAATTAAAAATATATATTTAGATTTGGTTCTTATTCGGTTCTTGATCTAGAACTGAACCAAACACATCGGTTCTTGATTCAAATATTTGTTCGGGTATTTAACTTATGAAGAATCGCTCGGTTTCGGTTCGGTCCAATTCGGTTCGGGAGTTTTGTCCAACCCTAGGTGGGCTAGCTAGGCATGAATTTGGTTTGGGAGTTAGAACATTAATCACTAAATTAGTTAATTTGTTTAGAAAAAATTTAAAAATTTAATTAATTCAAAATAAAAAATTAAAAAAAATTATTTAAATTCGGTTCTAGGTCTAAAATCGAACCAAACCAGCCAATTCTCGATTCAGATACTCATTCGGATATTTAACTTATAAAGAACCGCTTGGTTCGATTCGATTAGGTTCGAGTCCGGATCGGTTCCGGAGTTTTGTCTAGCCCTAACTTTATCCATCATTTGTTAGATTTCGTTTCCCTCGTTTTTGACATGTCGTGCAAAAATTTCACATGAGAAGTTATAGTTGTTGAAAAAATTACAACTCAAAACAAATCATTCAAGTAAAATGTTTCATTACTTACCCAATTATACTATGATGATGATTTACTCTTCAAACTTTAAATTGCTTCTTGGTGGTCACTTATCTTTAATGGTATTATTTAATAATTTTTTATGATAGTTCTGGTGTGTAGTGTTTATGGAGATGGTGCTAAGGTTTAGTGGCGTATTTTATGGTAGTGGAAGGTGGTGGTGATGGGGCATGGCAAATGTTGTGGTGGTGACGGTGGTATGTTTGCTTTTTACCGAAAGCAATGAATTGTAACACGGTGTTACAATAAGAATGGTGTTACAATAAGAATTGTGATGGTGGTGGTGGTGGAACAATGAATGTTACAAGTTGTAGGGTTGGTTGCGGCTATGGTGTGATACTAATGTTACAAATGGAACCGTGACAATGGAAATATATGGCATTACGTAGGGATGGGTGATAAGAGTGTTTTACACGTTTATATAGGCTTCTAAACTCTATAGTTTAGATTCAATGGGCTGATTTTTACTCCTATTGTGCGTAGGTAAAATCCCGAGTTGAAGGTGAATTGAGCAAAAATGAGACGATTTATAGCTTGATTGAGGGAAAAGGGATGGGTCTGCATTAATATTGTGAAGTTGAGGACTTTATTGGATGGTTTGATTGGATGATTACGTAAGTTTTGGAGACCAATATTTGCCATTTGGAGAGTTTGAAGACCAAAATAAATTGAATCAAAACTTAAGGACAAAATTTGATGAAGTTGAAAATTCAAGGTCAATGTGTATACATGTGACAGAAGGACTCAAATTGACAAAGCTCAAACTTGAGGGACCAAAATGGAAGAGGCTTGAAGCTTGTAGGACCATAATGCAAATACTTGAAAATTGGAGCCTTGAGGTCGCATGAAGGCTAAATGCTACCTCATCTGGTGCTTGCACAAGCAAAAAAAAAAAAAAAAATTCCGCAGGTAGCATGTTCCTAATTTGATAGAAGGTAGATATACATATTTTTATTTGGTCGTTAATTAAATTTCGAGATGATTTGATATGTTTAGTTAAGACTTCTTCAGATTTACATAGAAATATAGTAAAACGAATGAACTAAATAGGATTAATATAAACTCGAGAGATGAAAATTAATTAAATTACTAAATTCGATTGAGTACACATTTTGAAATTGAACGTGAGAAGAAAGATTAAAGGGGATGACTTAAGTAAGATCGCGAGTCTTAATACTTTTATTCATTAAATCAAATTAACACGTCGAGCTTATCCAACACCCACGTAGATTATTTAATTTAGTATAATTTAGCCATTAGTTTAATTAGATAAAATTCTCCTTTCTCGAATAGATAGTTCAAATAAAGCTACAGTTATTAATTTTGGTACTTAATTGCAAGGTCGTCATAAGGATATTACTTTACTTACCATCATATTACTTTTTCACAATTCGTATACTTGCAAAATTAATGAATAGTGGGGTGCCCCATGTCCTGCCTCGATCCCGCTTAAGGCGAATGAGGCAGCCAGGTCCCTCGCCGTTTACTTGATTTGATGTTATGCATGAAAAATTGCGCTGAGGGTATTTAAGCAAGTTTTGAATATTCTTTTTAAATAACTATACAATCTGTATGGGACGGAACGGGACGAGACGTGACAACCCATGTTCCGAAACCTGCCCACCGGAGAATTCTAGCCTTGTTCAGGGCAAGGCATCGTGGGGCGCGGATTTTTCGGATCAAATTGTCATTCCTAGCCATATATGTGTGACACATGCTATTACATTGTACTACAAATCTCGCTTAAGTGGGAAGCTTGGTATTGTCATCACGTCACGCTTTTATGTCTAGGCTTTATGTAGGTCTCATATAGGTATGTTTAAGCTCGTAAAAGCATGAAATATGGTACTGCCCCATAGTCATGCTTTACGTTTTTTAGAACACTAATTACAAGTAGCGACGGTGGCCGCTGTAGTGGAAACTGGTGTTAAAAATTGTATAGCATGGTACAAAACAATGTAACACACTGGTGTAACAAAATTTATTATGAAAAATAAAATAAAATGTATTTGAGAATAAAAATGATGACCAAAGGTATGTTTGGAAGGGAGATATCGAACACAAGAAGCTGCCTCTTGAAGTGGGGTGTTCCTAGTAGTTTATCTTTTGCCAAGACAATAAAATGTCATGTACTCCTATTAGGAAGAGAGCACGATCAGTGACAAATAATTTGCATTTGTCTTTGTTGTGTTAATTATGCCCCGAATCTCTAATATTAATTGTTCAGAATTCAAGAATCACATATTGCTCGATACCACTTGATATGAAATCAACCTCTGGATTGAGATGTTGAAGTTATATGATACAATTATGAAATATTTGATCACAAGCAAAAAAATAAAAGACAAGAAAAATATAACAGATGAATTATGATATTTCATTGCACCACAAATAACGAAAATAGAGAAGTATTACAATAATCCTAAAAATTAGTAATCATTTTTCTCACACTATAAAATTGTATAGAAGAGTCTAATATTTATAGGTAGCTATGTATGGTGATGTCCAAACCCTAATAGATGAGTTGTAATTGAAATAGAATACCAAAAATGTGTTAAAAGCGAAACTTTGGGCAGGATAACAATGTCGCTCGAGCGATAAGCTAGCGACATGTCTGTCGCTCGAGCGCTAGACGAGCGACTAAGTCTCGTGAGAAAATTTGCAGGTGTTGCTCGAACGGCCAGTTAGCGATAGGTTAGCGAAAATGCAGCGACTTTGCTTCCCGATCCATAATTTCAATATCTTCAAATCCAATACAAATTCTAACTCCCAATATGGGTTTCAAATAGAATTTCAACTTAATAAGATTTCAATAGCATTCCAAATTGAATTCCTCTTGACATGCACTTCAATTAGAATTCTTCAATTACTTCAACAAGGAATTCGGGTCACGCCCAAATTCTAACAATTTTATTTCTACGAAGTGTGAGGCATGAGGAAATTCTCCATGAAATTTATTGAAATCGAAACATGATTTAGTAAATTATATTTGCTTGTGACTAGCCAACATTTCCTTTTCGCGTGATTATTAAGAAAACACTTTACAATGACATTTTTAGTGCACGAGATGAATTGACCACACTATGCATCTCTTTTTTTAATTTCGTCACCTCAAGTCTTGTGCAATACATACATGAAAGATACTTTACCTATAGGAAGATTTCACAAGAGAACTCACAGAACACTCACACACGTGGGTCCCGCACAATTTTTTTTTAATGCATGGTGGGGCCCACCATGTGAGTAATTTGGTAAGCCGTTGTGAAATGAATCTTGTACTTAACGATTAATTGTACATATTGATATGTTTGACAAGTAGATTAGACAGCAATTAATGGCGTCAAAAGAAAAAAATTAAGCTAAAATCCTAATCACTGTATTAGATTCTACAATCCACCAAACCAAACTTGCACAATGGCCGATGGGTATTTTTGAATTAACAAAATTTTAATTTCATTTTCTTCTTTAATACTACGCCAATCTTGGAAATTCAATTTGAATTTAATTTTATGGACCCTAAAATCATGCAGGTGGACACATATCTAGGCATTCATCTCTCTAGTCTCTTTCACTATGATAGAAAAATATTGGCATTATTGTGCATTTGTCTCCGCATGGCATGAACACATTGAAACTTCAACGCATGCCCCACTAATCACCCCCTTCCCACGCCTTTGATCAAGCCTAAAACTATCACCAAACCACAATCTTCATCTCTATTTATATTTGCCACTCCCAAATGAAGAAAGAAAAAGAGGGCTTGATTTTTCAGTTGTTTTATCTGTTGTAACTTTAGTGAAGCAACATGACTATGGATGATTCTTTCAAGAAGCCAGGAGCCATTCCATTCAAGTGGGAGATCCGGCCCGGCGTCCCGAAGCTTCGACAACCACAAGAACCTTTATACGAACCTCGTAGTGGATTATTCCTACCTAAACACCACCTCGAACCACCACCAAAACCGCCAAGCCATCACAACAGTCCATTTCGTGACACCCCAACGCGTAAACTTGGACCCCCACCTGCTGGATTGTACTTCCATCCTTCGACACAGACTCGAAGCAAGTCTTTTCGTGCTCGATCCCAGCGTATTCTTGGCCGAGCGGAATGTGTTTCACCGGTTGGTTGCTTCCCATCTCCTTCGGTGAAGCGGAGAAATGAGGTCAAGAAGAGTGTCTACAAGTTCGAATTTCGACCCGGGACTGAACCGAACTACAATTCAGATATTGAGACAGTGTCTCGATGGTCTGTCTCAAGTAGAAAGTCCATCTCTCCATTTCGTGACTCCCCGATGTCTTCTTCCTTTTCCTCATACCAGTCATCGCCACGTCTAATGGCCGATGCAGATTGGGCTGGCTTTGGTTTATTTTAGAACAACATATCCCTTTTTATCTAAGTTAAACTCCGTGACAACAAAATTATAATAGTTGTCTTACATGGTTGCGATTTCACAAGATAAACTCGTGTTTGGCTATCTAAAAGTGCCGGAAGGGTTCAAGATAGGTTGCATCAGTTTTCTCACGTTCTACTCGTGTTTTTAAGTACACATACATGGCTAAGCAAGATCAAAAATATTGTATACGTTCAATGAGTCAAAGTATTGTATATATGTTGGAATATCGTAGTTGAGAATTTCAATAAAAGGAGTTTTATTTAATCGTATTATCTTTAATTTTAACAATGAAATTTGAAACAATATTTACTCAAATATTTTATGCTAAATTGAGTGAAAGTTGCAGCAAGTATATGTCTCAATTTGAGGGTGTTTTTATCATTCTATGAGGCTAAGGCGCTTTCACATATATAGTTGACTTTTTGGATCAAATAGTCAAAGCAATGTTGGCTATTGTTTTGGTTTGTGTTATAAGGTGCCATAAAATTATTCTTTCATTTTGGGGAGATTGATTTAATAAATTCGAAAGAATTGAACGAGGCGTCGCATAAAGTGAAAATCTCATTTACCATCATGTAAAGTGACAAAAATGGTGATTTATCCGTCAACTTTTCCATTATCGCCCAAAAAATAAAACTTTGGCTTATTTAACTTTATCATAGTACGATTAACCTTTGAATTTGAAATCATTGTTTATATACTCGGTATTGACCATAATTTACAAGAACATTATTCAATCTTACTAAGAAGGGAAGGAGTTATGGATTTGCTTTCAACACGAGTCTCGTTATTGGCATGAGAAATAATTAGGCGTTGAGCGAATTTGGGTAAGTAGGAGTGGAAATGAGGTGTAAAATATTTTGTCAAGCAATAATATAATTATTGATTAAGCATATAAGAGTTAACCTACTTGTACAAAATTGGGTTACAAAAATTGTTGACAAAATATGTGTTAACAAGATCTGAACCAATGATTTCAAAAATTGTTTTTTATATTATTGACTCAGATCTTGTCAACGCATATTTTGTCAACCATTTTGTAATTCAATTTTGTACACGTAGCATTGCTCCGGGTTCAAAATCAATGATTTTGATGAATCCGTGTGGAAGATTGTCAACCAAAGTTTTGGTTTGAAGGAGAGTGTACATGTACTACGTTGATTATAATTTGATTTAAAGATAGATTACACATTAATAATGTAGGGTGGGGTGGGGTGGGATCTGTCCAATAGTACAAGTCGGACCCATGTGATTTAATTAATTAATTAAACCCTTGACAGCAGCAAATTCAATGTATTGTAGTACAAATATTTTAGTAATGGCATGCATAATAACGTGATGGACTAAGAATAGATGTAAACCAATTAGCACTAATACCATGATGTTGCCATCACAATAAATAAATAATTAGCAGAGATATCGACAAAGACAGAGTAATTCTACATTTGAATAAATGGAATTTTGTACAAAAATCCAGAATCTTAAGAAACTACATTTTTCTTGGACAAGATGGATCGAATGAGGAGCACGTTTGGCAGTGTTCATAAACGGTTTAAATTGTGTAGACGAATGAATGACGGTACTTGTGGGTAGCTTGAAATGGATGGCTAAAAAGTGGTTTGAGTATTTATAAAGTCAAATATAGACTTAGGGGATGCTTGATGCACATTATGGAGAAGAAAATGCATTTTTTGATGTGATATGATAAAAAATATATAGTTAAAAAATAAGGAAAAATTTTGAATTTACGTATAATATTATTTTATTGAAAAATGTGTGGCTTAAAATGAATTTTGAAAGAATAATTTTCTTAAGAATGTGTATCGAACGGGAACTTAATTTGCTAATCCAAAAATTATCCTATCCAGACATTATGAACTTTAACAACACTCCCAGTATACACTAATCCTGGGATAAATGTATATCAAAAGAAACAGTAGAACCTGGGATGTTCTTGTTTCTTAGGACAAGTATAGATGCAACTAAAGTACACAATAGTCAGCAAAATGTAAACCATAGAGCACAAAGTAAGTTTCAAGAAGACCCAATCACAAATTTGTTGGCAAGAGACGCTGAGACAGCGCTAAAATGTTTGGAACAATGACATACAGAGACCTGTAATCAGAATATGCATGAGAATGTACTTTCACTCATTGGAAATTTGAAATATATATAAATATGACAAAATCTGGATTCGTGATATATCTAAGATGAATCCAAGACATACCGTGGAATATGAAGATCCTCCGAATATAAATTCAGCGTAACAAAAGCATTTGTACAGTTAAGACAAATATTCAACAACGAATTACATTACACCTTTCAAAAGTATGAGAGCATTGTAATAGTAATACCAGATATCAGCGAGAACCATATCTGGTTATCCAGTACTAAAATGCCTGGTTCATATCAAAGGCAGAAACAATATGTCTAAGTCACAAATACAATTAGCAAAAGGGAGTCAAGGTGCAAGAAATTTTAAAATGTTCAAGGGATTGTGACTTTAAAGGGCCGTTCACAATAAGGCAGAATCGAGAAATCTACTAACAATTTCAGCATCGCCACGCAGACGCAGAGATCAGTTCTTTCCGTTGCCAGCAAAGAACAAGTGCAGACTGCCTTTTCTCAACTTGGAATCCTTGAACAGGAGTCCTTTTCGCAAGACACTCCGCTTGTGATTCTGTGAAATTGCTAAAAGCAATAGGGGAGAACCCGGATGATAAAAACATAGTCCTCCAATGCTGCATCTTTTCAGGGGATTGAAAACGACCCATTACAATTTTTTCAATTCCTGGTCGGAGCAAGAACCTTTCAATCTTTTCCAGTGCATCCATATTCACATTGACAGCATCTAGGGACTCAAGCAAGTTAGAATAAGATTGAAGTGCGTGAATTATGTGGTTGGGAAATGGTAAATCAGTCCTATCACATCCTCTGTCCACAGAAACTATAATTTTTGGTGAAAGCTGCTTAACAAAACGAAGAACCAAAGGTACTGACAACTGGTAACTTGCAAGAGAACCAACTGGGAGATTCACCGCAACCACTTCATTCTCCGATACATGAAGAGGCATAGACCATGAACCAGAATTCAAAGAATCAATGCTCATAACCACAAACTCAAATGCAATATTGATTTCATTAGCAAACTGAATTAGATTCTCCCTAGTAAGGCCGAGCTCTAATTGGTCATGGTTTGAGGATGAGGCAAATGAAGTAATTTTCAAGGACGGTGCACCACTACTCCTCAATGCAAGCTCCTGCATCAGTGAGGCCCATTGTCCTCCATACCCAATATCAAAATCTACTATATGGATTCTATCAAATCCTTCCAACACTTCAAGGAGGGCTTGGTTGCAAGTAAAATTTGCAAATTGTTCTACGGGGGAAATTTCTGAAAAGGCTTTGTAGGCACTAATCTTATATATGAGACTAAACGGAGATGCACTGACAGTAGAGGAGTTGGCATTGTCATTAGTATGAAGGAGAAGTTGCAACGCTTCCTTGCAAAAGAAAGCAGCCCTATAGAAAGGCTTACCAGTGGGAGAGAGCTGGTGATTGAGCCGCGCCAATATCCCTTGCGCGAGTGCCGGATTTCCAGTCTGGACCAGCTCAGCAGCCTTGTAAAGCTGGTTGATTATCGCCTGTTGCTGTTGCTGTTGCTGAGGGCAATGTCCAAATTCATCCCCTTCCATTTTTGGCTTTGGGCTTGATCCCAATGCTGCTGCCGGCCTAATTTGCTGTAGATAATGAGGAAGTAACTGAAGCTGGTGAGAAAGGCCCTCCGGCGGTGGCTGCTGGTAATTATACAGTTGTTGTCTTGCCATTAACAACTCTTGCCCAGTATCCAAAAAGGGACCTTTGGGGATTTGGCTGCCCGGCGGCTCAAGACCTACACCTATAGCCCCACCAGGGTTGTGCCTTTTTGCCTGTGGCGGAATGAATAGATTCTGTTCCGGCTGCTGCTGGGTATATGATAATGGCATGAAAAACGAGGAGTTCGGTGGGTGCTGAGATTGGTTCTGGTTTATCAGCATCTGTGGAGAATTAGATGCTCCAAGAATGTTAGGCACTGTAGGAAACACATTATCAGGCAGATTTGAAGACGGGTTGCTGGATCTGTTCATGGCGAAATTTAAATTGGGCATAGAGGTGGGAACTGGGGAGATAAAATTTGCACCAAATTGGCCAACTGGGTCTGCACCAAATGTTTGATCCACAGCTCCAAACCAACCATTAAACTCAAAGTCCGCCACCGCCTGCGGGCCACTACCGATTTGGAGGACCTTGTTCAGACTGCCCGTTGAAGGGTCCTCCACACCCCCCATGATCCACCTTAGAATGGACTGCTCTTGGCTAGGAGAGGCAGCAACAGACTCCGACAATACGCTCTCCCACTCATCCATTGAACATTTTTCCGTGTTGGCAGTTGCGGTGGTGGCGGCAGAGATGTTGCCGATCTGGAGAGACGGAGGAACAGGGAGAAGCTCACAATCAGTTCCGGCATTGGAGCTGGTGGCAGTGGAATCTTGCCTCCATTTGGAACTGAAATTGGTGTTATTCCCTGAAACCGCCGCCACGCCGGCCGTGTCAGTAGAACCCGCCCCACCAGCACCAGGTGTACTGCCGGCACCGCCTAAAGACGAAGACAGCGTTGACGACGATGTTAGCCCACTGGGACTCCTAACAGTATCCAGGACAGATGTAGGCTCACAAAAACTATTCGAAAAGCAATCCTCCTTGAAATTATTTCTTCCCCAACAAGATGATATATTGACAAGTAGCTCTAAATCCAGCACCCCCTTCCCATCAAAATCATAGGTTAAGGGCATCCCCTTCACCTGACAACCCAGTCCACACAATTCTTGTCAACCCAAAACAAATACTTAAAAATAAATCAAACAACACTAATTATTGTGAAGATAAAAAAAAAAACTGTCAACTGTGATCTACAAACACTACTCAAGAATAATACCTGC